CTATCTCTCTCCTCTTTTGCCCTCTCTGTATTACAGTGATGCATGCCCGAACGGTAGTCCTCCCCCCTCTTTCTCTCCCATCCATCCTCTCTCCTCTCCTTAAGTAAAGGTTGATGCATTCCTCTGCAGTCACCCTCTCTCCGCTCCCCTCTTTTTATCTTCTACTTTCTCTCGTTGTACAGTAGCGAATGCGTATCTCTGCGGCGGCTCCGTCTCTCTCTCCTCCTCCTCCTCTCTCCTTCTATCTTTCACCTTTTCTCTGGTATGGTTGATGTAAGCCTCTGCTGTAGCCCTCTTTCTCTCCCTCGTTCTTTCCGTCTATCTCTCACCTTCCCTCTGGTATGGTCGATGTCTTTGCAGTAGCCCTAAAATCTCTCGTCATCCCCTCTTTCTCTCTGACTCTCTCCTCTCTGATATGGTTGATGTATGCCTCTGCAGTAGCTCTGTCTCTCCTCCTCCCCCCCTCGCTCTTTCCCAACCTCCCTCTCCTCTCTTTTCTCTCTCTCCGTCCACCTCTCCTCTCTCTGGTACGGTCGATGCGTGCCTCTGCAGTAGCCTCGGTCCGGTCCTGATCCCTATGAGGTCCGTGGTTCAGAGCAAACGCACAGCTGGTGGATATTAACACACACATACACAAACACACACACACCAACACAGAGACACACACACACACTCAGGGTCTCGTGCGCAAACGTGTTCAGAGCAGCACAAACAGCCGAGGCTTTAAATCCTGCTAACTAACTCAAGCATCTGCACTTTTGGAACCACATTCTGCATCACTTTAATTTAAGATTTTACTCATCTTGAACCTATAATGCCGTATTATGGAGGCGCAGTGGCTCAGTGGCCTCGCAGCAAGAAGGTTCTGGGTTCAATTCCGATGCCTCTGTGCAGCTGTTTTCAGGATAGGTGCTGGTTCCCGAACCACTTACACCGAAGTTCTCAAATCATTTAAGTGAACCCGTGATGCGTCATCAACAGAGATTGTGGATTTGCCACCAAATAAAAACAAGGCCATACAAAAGCAGATGTCACAGCGAGAAAATAAAATCATGGATCGCGTTATCAGGGTGTCCCCAGGTTTGACTACCCCAAATTTAAGACTTTTTAAAGACCTTTTTAAGACCATTTACATGAAATTTAAGACCAACATCGCACCCATTATGCGGGTGAAAAACACCAGACCCAATTCTAATAATGACCATTACTCACTGCTTTAAATAACAAAAAAAACTTTTATTTGTTATTATATTTGTTTTATTATCATTCAGAACTCATTTATAGTCTTATGCATTGCTTGTAAAATGGCCAAAAAATAATTTACAACATTCAAACAAGACAAACTGACCTTTCATGTTGTCTTGTCTCACATTGTCTTTCAAAGAGCTTCAACCATTTCAAATTTTCAACAACAACAAAATGTTGTTCACTGTGCGGATTGTTTACTCATTGCCACCAGCACCAGAAACCACATTAAATGTTCATTCACGTTGTTTTTTTTCCCCCTCCCTCTGTTTAACATTGCACTGCAGCCCAGTTGAGTTTACAAACAAAATAGGCTAATGAAATTTAAGACCTTTGTGAAAAAATAAGACAACATAATTTAAGACTTTTTAAGGCCTTAATTTAGGAACATGAAATTTAAGACACTTTTTAAGACTTTTCAGACCTCGCAGCTACCCTAATCATCGACACCAGTGAGCATTTGTACTCATACAAATCATGATTTATCTGCGCCGAGCTCTGCAACATCTGCTGTGGAGAAGGCGACAACGACGACAAATCCAAAGATGTAAAATCCCCAGACGAACACGAATATAGCAAACATTTGGTCTCCACTTTCTCAGTCTTCTTGTCACTTGATTTCTCCACCATATTCCACAAACACGTTTTCTTTGTTTATTTTAGCACGTGTGACCTAGATGAACCTGTTGACGTCTTCTGTGTTGTCATGGTTCGCTTGGTTACTTGGTTCAACTTTTCGGTGCCTGAACACTCTGATTTTTGGCATGAACATGTCAGTCGGTTCCAGATTAGGTCCGGGAACCTGCACCGGCACAGGTCTTTGTCGATCTGAAAATGCTATAAGTGGAGTTTGCATGTTCTCCCTGCATCTGATTGGGTTTCCTTTGGGCATCAACCCAAAACATGCACAACAGGTTAAATCGTGCAGCTAAGGCAGTCCTGAACCAGACTCGTTCAAGATCTGGAGACGGTTCCACTTCTCCTGACAGGTTTAACCCAGAGACACTGAAGGACGGGTCAAATGCAGAGGACAAATTTCCAACAAAGTGTCCCTCAAACTATAGTAATCAATTTTGTGTGTTCCTTTAAATGTGGGAATAGTAGTTTAGTAGTTTCTTTGTAATATTTTCGAATGACAATATAGCCTACACTTTGAAAATGTTGCAAACTTTTGTCACAGATTCTGAAATGATTTCTTATTAATTCACGCATTTTTACAGATTCCTTGTGTTTTTGTGTGGTCCGTGAATCATTGGAATTCCATCGCTGATTGTTGTTTACAGCTGATGTCAATTCTTCACCCGGTTGTGACTATAATTCTTCATTTTCTGTTTGTTTTTTGTTGTGTTGTATGACTTCTAGCTCCCAAATCCAGCAGTGTTAGACATGAAATCCTTGCAGTTTCCATATGAATATAATAGAATTCAAACGCACAAGTGACTCTTTGTCCTCGCCCCCACTTTGCCCCTCCCACTTTTCCATCCGTGTTGCTTGGATTGTCATAAACACTCAGAAACAATCGCAGTGGTGCAGTCTGTCAGCTTCCTGGTGTGAATGAGTTGTTGATGTGTGTGCGAGATCGTATCAAAGTGCAAAATCGGTTGCTATGGGACGCAATACAACAATATTAATAATAGTTTCACCCGGGGCGTGATTTAGATGAGGTGAGAGGTTTATTAAAAGAAAAACATTTGTGATAAAAAATGCAGTGAAGATTTGTTAGTGGAGGTGAAGAGGAGGACGTGGTTGGTGATAGAGGGAAGAGAGAGTGCATTTTCTTGAACGTTCAGTCATTTCAAATTGCATTAACTTGGAACATTTTAAAGGGAAGGTCTACAGAAAGCTTTCAGAAATATTTGCGTGCATATGATAGAAATCCGTGCATATTTGTCTGTAGTTGAGTATAAAATAAATATTTGTAAACTCTCGAATGAGTCCAGTCGTTCATAAAATGTGTTGTGTGTATTTTAAACATCAGAATGCAAACTGAAAGTTACGACATCAAGAATTACAATCACGAAATGAAAATTTACGATTACACATTCTTCAGTACGAATACGAATTCACAGATGCGACTTTATTGTCAAAAATACGTCCTCACTTCACAGGTTTTATTTATTGAGCAGAAAAAACATCGATCGAGATGCCGGACTTTTGCGACGCATACGGACTGAACCTAGCCAGGGTGGCGCAACCTAGTGCCTCTGCTCAATTTTATTTCTCTCCAGCGACTAGGTCAAGAATCAGAATACACTAGACGGTTTGCAAGAAACCCGGAAGTTGTAGACCGCACACCAGCCAATCAGCTGTGAAGTCATGACGTCAAACTCGTCGCGTTTGTCTGTGTCCCTTTTGTGGAACAACATAACAGTAAACAAAGCGTCGAGATGGATGTAGACGAAGACACACATTCTGTGTTGTCACCAATTCCCGAGATCGAGGATTTAAAGCCGGAACAAAGAGAATATTTGGTGAATTTTATCAAGGGGAAAGATGTTATTGTCCTTCTTTCTACGGGATTTGGCGCGTTACATACGTCATGACCAAATAGCAGCGATTGGTTAAATAAAAAAAGTACTTTCCTACTGTCGAGCGAATGAATCCTGATGCTGCAAAATCAGATGGTTTCCACCAAGTGAAACCGACTGATGAATCAGGCTAAACTGAACCAGGACTAAATCAGGACTGAACCAGGACTCCTGACTCGGTAAAAAGTGTAATCGTAAATTTTCATTTCGTGATTGTAATTCTTGATGTTGTAACTTTTCAATTCATATTCTGATGGATAAAATACACACAATAAAGTTTATACATGACTGGACTCATTCGAGAATTTACAAATATTTATTTTATGCTCAACTACAGCCAAATAAGCAGAGATTTCCCAAATATTCACATATTTATATTGTATGTGCACAAATATTTCCGAAAGCTTTCTTTCTCCATATCCAGTCAGTCATCTGTCAGTAAAAGCGTGTGGTTTGGGGCTGAGTTCAGACTGTTTGCCTCAATGGACAAACCTCGGATGTTCCGTAGTATGGCATTATACTTAACTATTTCCACGTAGACTTAACCCGGTGGCACATGAAGGCCAAGTTATTAGTCAGATCTGTGGAGAGGTGACCCCACTCACAATGAAAATGAAAGTTCGTCAAGGTGTTTTAAATGAATAATAAAGTAAATTCCCAAGAACTGCAGATGGAAAAGTAGCTCATCTGGCACAGAGAATCTTTTCTCTCTGAGATTAATGTTTTCTGTGCACTGTCCTTGTTTTAAATAAAAAAATAAACCTATCAAATAAAATAAATAAATGCAAAATAGATAAGTACAGTCATTCTGCGGGATGTTATGGACAAAGTAAAAACATCTCCCTTAGACACCAAAAAATTAAAACAAGAATGAACAACAGTTTGTGTTTTTTAAAATAACACTGGCTCAAAAATTGTGAAATGTTTTTTTGGCCAGATTTCCCAAACCTTGAAAGCAAAAGGCTGCAATTACATGACCAAACAAAGTAGTACCAGTTGAAATTGCATATAATTCATACATAATTTCATACTTTTTTTTTCTTCTTGCAGAACAGCTCAGTATTTCAAAGTCTAAAATTCATTTTGCCTCATTTTACAGATTGTTTTCTTTTTGTGACGTTTGCTCAATGACGTCCTGATTCTAATTTCTGAATGACTGTGTAATAAAATTATGACTAAGCTGTAATCAAAACTAACAAACTCTTTTTTCTCTCTCTTTTCCAGGGGGACTGACTGACCGATTGACCGGACCAGTTGCCTCTTGGTCTCCAATTTCAAGATCAATGTCCCTTTAGTCGCCATCATTTCTGGAGCTTTCATTGAGAATGTAACTCGACCTGGTCCCTGGAGGAAAGGTCACTGCTGATTCTACGCTTCGTATTGTCCCGTCCACAGTATCTGATCTCTATCCAATACAACCATGCCTGCAAAAGCTCCCATCTACCTTAAACCAGCCCCCAACAAGAAAGGCAAGAAATGCAGACTTCGAGATATCTTGTCACCTGATATGATTAGCCCTCCACTCGGGGATTTCCGCCACACCATCCACATCGGAAGAGGAGGAGAGAGGGACACTTTCGGAGACATATCTTTTCTCCAAGGGAACTACGAGCTGCTACCTGGGAAAGAAATCCAGTATGGCGTCCAAGGCGAATACACAAGAGCGAACAGCACCGGCGACGCTTCGTACGTCGAGACCCCATCGCCGGTTCTGAAAAACGCCATTTCGCTGCCGACGATCGGTGGTTGCCAAGCGCTGTCTCTACCGATGATGTCTTCGCACGTGTACTCGATGCCGCCAGAGCCTTTGGAGGACATCTTGGGTCCTCAGATGAAGCCAGATCACGTGGACCAAGTTGAGATCCTCCAGATGGACGCGCTCTTGAGATCCATGGAGGTCTTCGGGAGCGAGCCTTCGTCGCCCAACACAGAGATGCTATCGAAGCCAGACGTTTTGCTGGATCTGCTGGAGAAAAAGCACAAATCGAAATCCAAGGCGAAGGCAACGAAGTCGAACCGAAGCGAAAAGTTGTCGTCGGTAGCTACAAGACGAACGGAAGCCTGAACAGCGACGCGAGCAGCGACAGCTACGAGAGCATTAAAGATGATTACAAACCAAAAATCTTCAACGAAAACGGGAACTGCAACGGGTTCGGACCCTTTGGGAATGACTTTGGCTTCAAGGAGGAGCTTCCGAAGTGTAACGGAGACTGGGTGGACAGAGACAGCGGGGTGGACGAGGGTCGCATGTGTGATTTTGAGTTCGAGTTCGCCAAAGAAAAAAGCTCCTCACAGGATTCGCTCAGTCAGATCACGGGTTCGCTCCTGTCCCTGGAACTGGATTTGGGGCCCTCCATTTTGGATGATGTGTTAAATATTATGGACAAGCCGACAGCAGTGAAGAGCAGGCCTTAAACTGCGGATGGGTCCCGGGAGGAGAAAGGGAAACTGCAAAAGAACAAGGACAGAAAGACTGAAGCAATCAAAACGGAGTCTGGATTTATCATTGGACTACACGCTGCAAAAATAATGTCTACAGAAGTTAAAATGGATTGAGTTTTGGTTCAATATTCATCTTAATTAGCGTATTTTGACAATTTTAGATTCATTAACTTAATTTAAAAAAAAAATCTGACTCATCTTTTTATTATTACTATTTATTTTCAACCAAAACTATGTTAAAATTTCAAGTAGAATATCTTTTATTTTATTATTAGTATTTTTTAGAGAAACCAAAAATAAATACACCAAACCTTCAAACCTCAGAACCTTCAAACCTCTATTCACGCTTACGTCACAAACTTGGAAGACGTTGGGAAAGATGAGATGACAAGTTCCGGCGGGTTTTGTTCACGGTTGACAAAATCTAGGAAAAATGAGAAAACGTCCCGGTTTTCTTCATCTCCATGTCATTGTAGCGTTCCGTTATTTATCTGTATAAATTCGGACCACTGCAAACTGTTTCAGGTGACCTAGTTCAGTTTTTCATCTTTTAAATTCAGTCAAAAATCAGGTACAACGTCTTTAAACTAGAGACTGTTTTGCTTTTTTACACCAAGTTGATTTTCATGATGCGTTTTGTGACTTTAAGCGTGGTTTATTTACAACGGGATTCATCGCCAAAATCTAGGAAAAATGAGAAAACGTCCCGGTTTTCTTCATCTCCATGTCATTGTAGCATTCCGTTCTTTATCTGTATAAATTCGGACCATTGCAAACCATTTCAGGTGACCTAGTTAAGTTTTTTTACCTTTTAAATTCAGTAAAAAATCAGGTACAACGTCTTTAAACTAGAGACCGTTTTGATTTTTTACATCAAGTTGATTTTCGTGATGCGTTTTGTGACTTCAAGTGGGGTTTATTTACAATGGGATTCAAAATCAAAATCTAGGAAAAATGCGAAAACGTCCCGGTTTTCTTCATCTCCATGTCATTGTAGAGTTCCGTTACGTTCGTCTAATCAACAATTCCAACCATACCTCAGTTTTCATCATTTCCCCCACTGACTTTTGGCCCTTCTTCTCCTCAAACATGCGATGGGTACATGCGATTAGAAGAGACGAGGCGCCAAATTCAAAATGATTCCAAACACCACATACGTCTGCAGTCTTCGTTTTACCGCTGACCACGTTTACTTCAGGGGGTTTGATCACAGTCGAGTGTCGGGAACTCCACCGGAAGTCAACGTCTTCCCGGTTTGTGACGTAAGCGTGAATCGAGCCTATGTAGATTAAGTAAATCCGTAATTCTTTAAATTGTCAAAACTACACAATTTAAGATGAATATTATAAACTCAAGTCATTTTAACTGGTGTGTTTTTTTTTTTGTTTTTTTGCTGTGTAGCCAAAAGGGTAGAAAGACTCACAAATCAACCAAAATGATGTCTGGATATATCATTGAGCGTAATGAGACTTGGAAAAAGGACTTATGTCAGCTTCTACATGTTTTAGCCATGCTAGCGGCTTATTTAAACTAAAATGCATGTGCTTTTTGAGTTCAAGCTAAAACCACAGCCATCGTGCCTTTGACTGACTGTAAAAATGCTAGACTTGTTATCATGTTCACAGTGTATACAAGGGCCTGTACCTGATTTTCTCTGCGTATTTCTGCGACATTTTCCCGCCTCCGTACAGATGTTTTGTGCATAAAGTAAAATAAGTCTGCTGTTTACTCTGCGTCTGATTATAAAGCGATTTTCTAGTGAGAATCAGGAAGTCGGTGGTTGGCATGCTGGCTCTTAGTTTTACCATCGCTGCAAAACGTGGCTCTGACCTCTGATAGTTAAGAAAATTGCTATTAAACTACCGTATTTTTCAGACTATAAGGTGCACCGGATTATAAGGCACAATATCTATAACGTTGAATTTTCTCGTCTATTTTCATACATAAATTGCACCTGATTATAAGCAACATTAAGCGAAACAAACGGACGACACTTGAGACTGATCCCTTAACCCAGGCGTCCACGATCCATCGGCAGATCGTGGCGTAATTCGTCTTGCGTTGCCTCCCTGTTTTGGTGGATGTGTACTATGAAAGTGAATGTGGGTGGATCATTTAATTTTTTTTTTTTTTATTTCCCACGAAGACGACTCAAATACAGACTGAGTAATAATGTGTTTAATGCAGCTTTGAGCACATTTGTTTACGCTTCTGTCAGAATCCGCGAGGCTCCTGACTACAGTCGCCGTAATGCTCCAACAATCCATCAAGCGGTGCGGATTCGTAGTTTACCAAAGTCGTACTAAAACATTTTGATAGATTTTTGAGCACCGTGTACCACAGAAAATCGGTTCGAGGTCAGTAAACACAACCAGAATTTATACATAAGGTGCACTGTCGATTTTTTTTTTTTTTTTTTGAGAAAATTTAAGGATTTTAAGCGTGCCTTATAGTCCGAAAAATACGGTAATAATTAGCATGCTCAGAATGCATAAGGTACAGAAAGTAAGGAATAACTTTGGACCTCTGCAAACCGTTTAAAATCGATGAGGAAGTGGACAGTTAGCATGCTAGTTGTTGTTGTTAGTTTTATCGTCACTGCAAAAATCCATTCTGTCGTCTGATAGTTGTGAAAACCGCTCTTAAACTCGTCGCGATGAATAATTAGGATGCTCAGAATGCATAAGGTATAAATTTGGACTTATGCAAACCATTTAAGATCCATCAGGAAGTGGACAGTTAGCATGCTAGTGGTCGATAGCTTTACCGTCACTACAAAACTTCGCTCTGACTTCTGATAGTTGATTAAAACTCATCGCGGTGAATAATTACAAAGCTCAGAATGCATAATGTAAGTGTGGAATAACTCTGCAAACCAATTAAGATCGATCAGGAAGTGGACGGTTAGCTTGCTAGTGGTTGTTAACTTTCCTATCGCTGCAAAAACTCCGCTCTGACTTCTGATAGTTGCGAAAATCTCTCTTAAACTCATCGCGGTGAATAATTACGATGCGCAGAGGTAAGCAAGGTCACCACTGCAAATCATTTAAAATTGATCAGGAAGTGGACAATTAGCATGCTAGTTGTTGATAGCTTTACCGTCACTGCAAAAAGTCCACTCTGTCGTCTGATAGTTGTGAAAATCGCTCTTAAACTCGTCGCGATGAATAAAGAGGACGCTCAGAATGCATAAGGTACAGTATCGATCGATCAGGAAGTGGACGGTTAGCATGCTAGTGGTTGATAGCTTTACGATCGCTGCAAAAACTCCGCTCTGACTTCTGATAGCTGCGAAAATCTCTCTTAAACTCATCGCGGTGAATAATTAGGACGTGCAGAGGTAAGCAAGGCCACCACTGCAGATCATTTCAAATCGATCAGGAAGTGGACAATTAGCATGCTAGTTTTTGATAGCTTTACCGTCACTGCAAAAAGTCCACTCTGTCATTAAAACCATCACGGTGAATGATTAGGAAGCTCGGAATGAATAAGGAACGTGAAGAATAACTTTGGACCACTGTAAACCATTTAAAATTGATCAGGAAGTGGACAATTCGCATGCTAGTCTAGTTGTTTGTAGCTTTACCATCGCTGTAAAACTCCACTCTGACTGCTGATAGTTAAGGAAATCGCTCTTAAACTCATCTTGGTGAATAATTACGATGCTCAGAACGAATCATGTACGTGAAGAACTTCGGACCACTGCAAATCTTCTTCAAACCTACTTCTGTTTTTCACGTTTTTTAAATCCAGTCAAAATCAGGTACAGCGCCTTTAAACTAGAGATTGTTTTGCTTTTTTACACCAAGTTGATTTTTCCTAGTGCGTTTTGTGACTTTAAGTGTGGTTTATTAACGAAGCACTTTTTTGTTGGTCACAGCAGGATTCATCGCCACATTTGAAAGAGCGTAACACTATGCATTCATGTGTTGTGAAAACTGTAACACCAAAATAAAAATAAAAACAATTTGTTCAAACCGGGCTGATTTCTTGGGGGGTTTGTGGAAGAAAATGTCAAAAGGTCTGACTTTATATTACGCAAAACTGACTCTTGTGAGCTTTAAACCAAGTTAGAATGTTGTTACTTTCTCGAAAACAGACCTGGACTTGTGTTTTGTTTCATTCACACATGTTTGAGTAAATCTTTATTATTAACAGTGTTGGGAAGGTAACTTTTAAAATGTATTCCCCTACAGATTACAGATTACATACCCCAAAATGTAGTTTGTAACGTAATCCATTAAATTACTTAAAGTGAGTAACATAATCTGAATACTTTGGATTATTTGATTTTCTGTAGAGAAACAAAGACGAGGAAATCTTCACATAAGAAGTTTTGTCTGATAAAAAACAATGAAAAGCCCAGACTTTACTGAAACAAATTAAAAATATTATTGATAAAAGAAGAGGAGGAGACAAGGTCCACGCAGCATGGATTTAGTCCTGTTAAATCCTGTTTTAGACCTGGTTTAGTCCTGGTTTGGACCTGGTTTAGTCCTGGTTTATACCTGGTTGGGACCTGGTTTTAATCCTGGTTTAGACTTAGTTTAGACCTGGTTTGGACCTGGTTTTAATCCTGGTTTAGACCTGGTTTAGACTTGGTTTAGACCTGGTTTTAATCCTGGTTTAGTCCTGGTTTAGTCCTGGTTTAGACCTGGTTTAGACCTGGTTTAGTCCTGGTTTAGACCTGGTTTTAGTCCTGGTTTAGACCGGGTTTTAGTCCTGGTTTAGACCTGGTTTTAGTCCTGGTTTAGTCCTGGTTTAGACCTGGTTTTAGTCCTGGTTTAGACCTGGTTTTAGTCCTGGTTTAGACCTGGTTTTAGTCCTGTTTAGACCTGGTTTTAGTCCTGGTTTAGACCTGGTTTTAGTCCTGGTTTAGTCCTGGTTTAGACCTGGTTTTAGTCCTGGTTTAGACCTGGTTTTAGTCCTAGTTTAGTCCTGGTTTAGACCTGGTTTTAGTCCTGGTTTAGTCCTGGTTTAGACCTGGTTTTAGTCCTGCTTTAGACCTGGTTTTAGTCCTAGTTTAGTCCTGGTTTAGACCTGGTTTTAGTCCTGCTTTAGACCTGGTTTTAG